TAATAAAAAAGAGGCAGTTATCGTGACTGTAATAATAACTAAGAAGTATATAACTATTGACAAATTAATGCATTCCTGTTTTTTAATTCTTGTTGCCTTGTTACTATGCAAGAAGAGGGAAGAAGCACGCTAGTGATTTTAATGCCTGTGCGCATACACCGCAATCAGTTCACGCTCTGAGGAGACGTTTATGGATATACTCATTTTATCCTTCTTGTTGTTGTTCACTATGTAACTTTCGATTATATCTCTCTTTTTTTATTACAATCCTCAGTAGTAATTTCATATACAGAAAAAAAACGGTGCACTTGACTTTGAAATTGTTTGGATATCAAATATGATTTTCCTTAAACATTCCTTGTGGTTTTTCTTACTTTCTATATGTGTAGTAGTAGTAATGTTTTGTCAGTTTTTCAAATAAGAAATGTACACACAACTCATGGTTAATTGACTTTTAGAGTATAAAATCTAAACGAAAGTGGACATTTTACGCAAATGGACTGACAAAGTGATTTGAAAGTTTATTCAAATTGATTGGGGAGAGGAAAACTGTATACCATTACAAGTTGGAAATTTCTTCTGATATTCGTAAGATTTCTTCGATATTCCTAAGAATAATACTCAAATTGAAGGAATATTGTCAATATAATTAATAATAATATTGTCAGTAGATATTGTTAATATTTCTAAAGTATTCATATTTAGAGTAATGTTGTCAATATTGCTGCAAGTTCAAGTGCTTTCGATTCAACAGCACAAAATTAGTGACAATATTTACATAGTTTACTAAAGATCATACCTTTCTTGCTATTCTGAAAATTTACGAAAAGATCTTTCCTGTATGATCGAAAATCTGCAATTGATATTGGAGAAATACAATTTTGGGGTAATGTTATCAATACTCCTGTAAGTACAGGTATTTTTTGGGTTCTTGCAGCAGTTTTTTGGCAACAGGAAAAATAAAATTAAAATTTTCGGAAGTACTTCTAGAGGTATGTTTGAAGAGTTGCAGAAAACCCAATTCGAATCAATGCAAAATGTTAGGAAATTTATTGCGATTTACGTTCCCATAAATGGTATCTCTATTTCTGTATTTTTCAACAAGTGATAAAACCTTCATTTCTAATCTAGAAAGTCACCGAAGGAAGTACTGAATACCAAAAAAAATCAGCTTAAGGCTAATAAAATATAATAATAAACTACCTTAGGCTACTTTATCCCCAAGAAAACCAATAATTAATTTGTCAACAATTTGTACCCAACGATCAAAAAGAATTTATTTTCGAAATCACCATGTCATATTCAGAACATTAATCTTGTCATTTTTTCCCAACAAAATAAAATACACACCAATATGGTAAACAGAACATAAAAAAACGGGTCATAATTTTCATCAATGGTATCTAGTACTATAGTCATAAAACTAATGAAAAGTCAGTAAACATTATTATGCAAGACCTATATTATATTTCCCACAAGATGTGGGAAGGTTGAGGTAAATTTTTTTTTTCTCTAAATATATTTATTGTAGAGATTAAATATCTTACAAAGATGTTAAAAATGATCAAAAATGGAAAAAAGAGGAAACAAATTGTCCATGAAAGGACATAAAGAATAAAGAAAGAAATGAAAAAACACTTGTTCATTACTGTTTATAATCACGATTGGAAAATTGGCATGTTGACCAGTCTTGGCAGTAGTTATTCCATATGGGAACATTTCATCTATTAGTTTACAACTTCTGTGTTTGTATCTATGTGTGTTGATTCGCAATCGAAATGCTAGATCCGCGCTAAAGTTGATCGAGTGTGGAAAATTTCTCGCCACTATAAACTTTCATTAGGCCAATGCATTTGATCCTGATTAATTGTGAGACTTTCCCCTGTTGACTACAGAAACACGTACACGTATATATGTATAAATATCTTGGTGTTATCTCCGAATGTATAAAATAACGTGAAATAAAAATATTGGTGTTGTATTTCCATAGGGGTTTATTTTTTTTCCTACAAAAAGAAAAATCACAATTTTTTTTTTCACTTCCAATTAACATATAAGTTTAGTTTTTTCTTGTTTTAGAATTTTACAAAGAATCGTTTCTATATATAAAAGTAAAAGTAAAAAATTATTGAAACTTATGTAAACATCGCAATTTTGAATCGGGAAAAAAATTATGTTAGGATATTAATTTTCCATTCTATGTTGTTTATTGATGTCATTAAAGTGAATGTTCATCGAGTGTTCATCAGGAGAATAGTGAGATTGGTCGAAACTGATGCCTTTCTAAATGTTTTCAAGGTGAGAGAAGATCTTTTCTTCTTCTCTCCCACAGAGGTGGGACATTAAAACTTTAGTTCGCACGCTTATACACAGAAATCGGTAAAGATCCATTCACTCTTATTTTATTGCCTCTCTGAACAACTGGTTTCACAAAATTTGATAGCACCTTCTATTTATGTAGCATATTGTCAAAACAAAAACTGCATTTTTTCAGAAACATTTTTTCCTGAACTGGGACGTATTAAAATCTAATTTTTATCACCTTGGAACCAAGTATTTTGATTTTTTTTTCGTTTTAATACTAAACTCCCTAAAGTAAAAATTTGTAATGAAAAAAAAAATTTGTTTTCTAACATGGAGTACCAAAGAATTTGTTTCTACTTTGGGAAATATTTTCTCCCCTATTATTTCTAATTGCTAGAAAGAAAAGGAGTGGGAGATTTTTTTGCTGGTGACAAAGTGAAAATGAGATCAGTGCAAGAACCAAGTTTTGCATTAAGGCAAATAGTTGACGCTATACCGATAATTAGCAATCGTTAGTCATCGTCTTTTTGCATGGAATTATGCGATCATTGCTCCAGAGTGTAGATGAAGAAAAGAACTCTCAATAATTATATGTACTTCACGCAATAATTTTTATGCATCTCTGCTCGATTACTATAATTTCACTGTGAGCTTTACAACTTTACACTATGTTTCCCTTTCTACTATATAGATTTTTATTAGGAATTTCAAATGTTCCAGTTCATCATAATTTATGACTATGGAAAAAAATCCAGGTTTATTTCTTCTTCGTTGTGTTTTTACATATTTTTACATATTCTTTTGGAATTCGAAAAATTTGTTTTAAAATATTCAATATTTTTGGTAGAATAATTAAGGAACCAAAAAAACTTAATCCATATCCCAAAACTAATGTAATACAATAGTATGATATTAGTTTTGGGAAATGGATTGGCTTTTTTAAAATTCTAATGAAAAATTTCAAATAGTAGATGAGGAATTCCTTTCACAACCCTTCGTGACAGGAATCCTTGGGAGAAAATTGTTTCAGCGACATCGAGAGAAGGCGCACCTGTACAAACTCTAATTAACGTGCCGTCAATATACGCAGAGCGCGCACTTTCGACCGAGAAACGTTGTCCGCTCGATTTCCATTCCAATCTCAAGTTGTCTCCAATGGACAAAAGGCCTTGCGCAAGGGATCACTGCATTGCAATAAAACAACACCGGGACAATCGAGCTGCAAATCAATGCACCAGACTCTGAGTCGAAGTGACTTTAATGCCCCGACAAAATGTTTCATTTTTCCAAAAAGGAAGTCTATGAAGTCTCTTTCTTTTAGAGGAAGTGGATAAAAACCGATTTTGTTTGCATTACGCTCGGTAACACAGCTGCACTCAGATAAACGATCGATCAACATACTCCCATACAGAAACCCCTGACGATTTCTATGCCTTCTTATTATCCATAAATAAGGCTTCATTCAGATAATAACTTTTACCGTTACTTTTTATTTTACTCTAAAATCCTACTGTACTACTTGCTGTAAATGCCATATATCACTTTTCATTGACAAAACACCTATCATTGATATATAAACAATTTATATTGAATATAAACCATTTATATTAAATAGAAACAGTTTATGTTGAATAGGAGTGAAGCCTTACAGCATCGGGATATTCAGGATACCCTTTGGACTTTGTTAGGATATCCGGAAATTATGATATTCGTAAGAAATTTCTCGGCTGTCCCTGGAAATTCCTGGGATATCTTGAGGACAACCTGGAGATATCATAAATTCCGATAATGACATCCGTAGAATAACCTGGAATAATTTTTTCTGTTAGGGAATGATCCGAAAAGCATCCGAATAGTATGTAAATCCTAAGGACCTTCAAGGGTCAATTATTTCTCCATGAAATTTAGGACTTTTTTCAGTTGTCCCTGGGATATCTTGAGCACATCCTAGAGATAAAATTTCCAAGTTATGCCAATAATGTCATATCTGAATATTAGGATCTCCTATGCTGTTAGGAAACGATCCTAACAGCATCCGGACACTCAGGATGTCTAAAGGACGTCCTAGGGACAACCATTCGTCAGTAGAACTTAGGATAATTCTCAGCTGTCCCTGGACTGTCCATGAACAACCCACAGATATCTTAAGGTTATCGGTAGCATCATTCTGTTACTATTACCATTTCAAATTGATTCGTTTTTGTCTCAAATTGATAATCTGTGATCAAAGAATAATCGTCTATATAGAAAAATTTTTCTTGACTGCCCATTTTTAATCTAATTAAAATTTACCAAATATTCAAAAAAAAATTTCTCCCCTACAAAAAATTAAGAGAAATCTGAATAGTTAACAAAATTACATGAATAGGAATCAATGAGAATTAAGCATTAAAAAGAGGAAAAAAAGTCCAGAGAACAGAAATGGAAAATTATAGATATATAATAGTCCAATCAGAGTAAACTACAGGTTAATATAATCGCTCTTCAATTAACTTTACAACACTCGTCAAATTCTCAATAGTCGACAATACCCCGAAGCTAGATTACTTAATTTTTCCTCTAAACTTTTCCAAATCGTAAAACAATGATAATAATCGAAACGTTCAATTATCGGTGGAATTGCTACTGTTTTAGAAAGAAAATTAATAGACAAAAGAAACTTTACTGGCGGGAGAATTCAAATATTCAAAACTCACCCTCAGTGTCCCTAGTGTGAACCGTTGTGGCAATCAGTAACAACAGGAGTAACTTGGTAAACCTAAGTAGCCGCATCTCAGCACCCATCTCTATCTTGTTCGTAAAAATTTTTCTAATTGATTATTTGTCCACTGTTGCACTTTATATAAAAACGAAGCAAAACACACTATCATTAAACGATCACGAGGGGAAGTTTTACAAAAAATTCCACCATGGGGTGGTGGTGGTTTTATTTTTCGGCTTCACTGCCGAAAAGTCACTCTAAAGACATTGAATTTAATGAGGAAAAAATCCTTTTTTCGTGTGTAAGAGAAACAAAAATTTTTTACCGGTGAAGAACTGTCGCGATAATTAAAAAAAACAGTGACCGACCTTTCTTCGGATGCTTTGTAACTTGGTCTGTGTTCCGGTAAGAACTGACGAGACTCGACAGTCTTAAGAACAGGAGAAAGGTCTATCCGTGCAGCCCCTCTCTCTTAATCTTTGCTTGCCCCCTCACCAAACGCACTCCTGTCTCTTCTGCAGACTCAACCTGACTTGCTGCTCCATAAGACTCCATGGGCACAAATATACTAGATGAGTGGTATACATGATGGTAGCAAGTATCACATATAGGAATGGTTGTTGTAACATTGCCTATCATCAGTAAGAGGCACCTGCTTGATGTTATTACAACCTTGTCGCAAGTTGATCACCCGTTAGAAACTTGCATGTACCGTCATTCATTTACCATAGTGGCGAACAAATCGTTTTCCGAAGATTCATCGTGGGTGATGAATGTTCACCATTCAGGTGAGAAAGAGAGAGGTGAAATGGTGTTCTTGATTTAGGATCATGGTGCTGATATTCCTGGTGATGGTGAATGAGAGACAGAATCAGGAATTAAAGAATCTTCATTCATTGATTCTTAAGTGTAAATTCAGGAAAAGAGAAATTGATAACACAGGTTAAATCCGAATTTGGCTTTAACCAGTATGCAAAGTCATTTTTCCTCCTTCAACAAGATTAAAACTAATTCGAAGTTATTTATTAGCAACGTAGTTTATCGTCTGAATATACAGCATTTATTAGAAAATGTCTATTAATATTTTTTTTTTCCTAACAAATTTAATTTTGTACAAAAAATATATTTTTTTTCCTAAATATTTATATCTTGTACAACACACAGTAAACCATTGGGTGTAATTTTTATTTTAGGGTCGTCTTTACTCCCAGATAGCATCCGGATATTCAGGATATCCTTTTTGGGGATATCCTTTTGTCAGGGGAAATTAGGATATTCCTTGAAATATCCTAATTTTCCTGGACCAATGGTTATTATTTGCTCTTTCCTTTCACCCTTCAAAACGATGTTTAAACTTTAAACTATTATCAATTTTGTAGTGCAAAAAATCCACCACAGTTTCTGATGCATTCTTGTTTCCTATTCACCGGAAATCTTTAGGACGTCCGTAGGATTTCCTAAATATCCGGATGCTGTTATAATGAAATTTAAAAAATCACCTAAATAACCGTAAACTAAATTACCTTGCATTAAATACATTTCTTTCCAGCGTTTATAAGCAAGAAATTTTGCAAGAAATTTTTCCTTCCGATATGTTCTAGTGGCAAGAATACCATATTTTAACTGAACTGAATACTCCTTTAGTAAAATCGCTGATTTTACTAAAAATTTCGCTGAGGGAAATTAAAGAGAAAGAGACTTTACCAAATCTGTAATTACCAAATTGAATTGGAAAAAGGTCTTTAATTGACACTATTTAATCAATTAGCATAAAGAAAGCTGACTCTCGACTCTTGAGTTGACTCTTGAAATGTATGAATGAAAGAAGTACAAAAACGGTATGAATGAGATTTTTTATCTTACCGTACTTTCATTAATGGAAATCTTCAATATTAATATATGAACCAAATACCAAACATTTTGATAATTAGAAATAACATTTCAAATTAATTTTAAAACAAGTCTTTAAGAAAACCAGTAGAAATTAATATTCAGTTAGACAATGAATGATAATGTATATAAGGTACGTTGGCCATAATGTCGAGTCTGAGAAATGACTAATAAATCACTGGAAACTGCAAACTATCGAGGAAATGAACTATTAGGAAATAGAGACATTCTTCGTAATCGACGTTTCTTTAAAGTGAGTAATCGAACGGAAATGCGTGAGCGTCAATTGAACAAAGTCCGTTCAACGCATCGTAGAACGCAAAGTTATATAGTGATATATAAGAAGAGATTGGCAATATATAGGTGCCGACCTGAGGACCTACATTCGCTCGATCCAGCAAACGATGCCCGGGGCATAATTGAAGACATACCTGTGTGTAATCACCAATACAATAAAAGAACTGGTATAAACACACTATGAAGTCTTTTGCCTACTTCGCTCTGCAAATACAGCCAAAACAATACTTGACATTTTAGACATGTATTTGTGCCAAATAGTGAACCACTTCTTCTAACATTATAATGAAGTGGTTCAGATTTGACAGAATCTTTCACTCGGCGTAGAAGTTTATACTGTATTTTTAATTAGAATAGCAATTTCTCTGAAATTTAGACACAAAGATGATGTTCCTAGAAAAGAACCTTTAACGCTTTCCCCTAATTTCTTATTCTCTCTTTTCATATCCTTTTTTACAATTTTTCTAATACAATCATACTCTCATACATACCATCATCATACTTCTATATCAACATTTCAAAAATAACCTAACCTATCAAGAACCGCCAGTGACAGGGCTTCCGTTTCCAGTTCCAATTGCCTATACTAGCTTCATTCCCATTTCGCCCACCCTTTTTCGTTTACCTCAACTTTTTTAACCTCTCCACCAACCATAACTTTGATATACCCATTTCACCCATTTTTATCGCCTGTGCCGTCTTGACATTTACACTCAATTCCCACCCGTGCTGTTTACGCGTTTTCTCTTTATTTGGAAATAATTTTGGTTGCTAAATTATTTTAATTCTTCGCGCACCAGATTTGTAGATGGCACGCGCATTATCACAGGTGACGATGGGGTCATGGGTCAATACGTCGGTTTTGATTTCCATTCATTTCCAAAATCTGGTTCTTTCGTAAAAACGAGGTGCGTAAGATCGACTAACTTCAAGTGTAGAACTTTTTCTTGATTGGCTCTTTTTCAAAATCCTTTACTTTGATTAGATATAATCGTGACATTACTTACTGACGTTAAAGCAGCTAACTTCAAGTGTAGAACTTTTTCCTCATTGGCTGATTTTATAATGAGTGTTCCTCATTGGCTGAATTTTATAATGATGGTGACCTCACACTTTTATATTTTCGTTTTTCTTTTTTAAAATTAAAAAAATAATTAATTAAAATTATTAACTAAAAGTAGTTTAATATAATAATTTTTATTTATGGTTTGGTTTGTAATAAATTAAAAGTTTAATATTAAAATATATTTAATTTTATGATTCATTTTAGACGCTTCAAAATTGTTGCGTGCGCATCTTTTTTCCAAACAAAAATTGTTTGTTCGCTACAGCCATGTAACCTCACCTCAGTGTGAAACGCAAAGTTTTTGGTACGAAAAATTACAAAATGTTACAAGTGTTAGCAACTGTCAACCATTTGCAAAGTGTGACACGTGTATCGTTTCGATAAGAAGTATTGACTGTTATTTGCCGAGTGATTTTTCTTCTGAAAGTGTTGATTGTGAATTTTGTGTTTTTTTTTGTTGTACATTGAAAAAAGTTAAAGTACATTACATACGTTACGTACGTAAGTATTAAAATACATGTAAATAGAAATTCAATTTTTTGTTAATATTATTTGTACATATTAATTAGGAGGAGTTTGTAAATATAATGTGAATTATTTGATTTATTAATTTGAAGGATTTAATTAATTTAATTAAAGTTTAAAGGAATAAAGGACATTTGCCTGTTATTTTGATTTCTGAATGTAGAATATTGATTGATTTTTTTAAATTCTGATGTTTGTACATTACATAGATGAAGATACATTCTTTACATTCTTAATAATCTTCAATAAGAAAGGAAAAGTTAAAAATTTTCAGTTACTGTTAAATGTGACAATAATAACATTATTTACATGTGTTCTGAATTAATTAATTTTATGAAAAACTATTTTTTCGAAGTGATATCCTTTCAATAAATTAAAAGAAATCATGTCGAACAAAGAAGAAACTGTTAATTTAAGTGTTATAGATTTCAATATTATACTTACTGAAGGAGGAATGTTAAATCATACTCATATTGAAGAATTCGAAAAATTATTAAGAAAAGAATCAAATTCTGCTTTTAGCATGCAAAGCACTTTGTATTTATATGCGCTTAAATTTATTAGTCCGATTGAAAAAAGTAAAAAGCATATTCAAATACTTTTTAGTGGACCTATCAAGAAAGGTCATTGGATTTGCACTTATTATAATGGAATGAGACTTTATATTTATGATAGTCTTAATGAAGGATGTTTAAATGAAGATTAAAGGAAATATTTAAGTAGATTATATCCTTTTAAACCTCCAGTAGTTTTCACAACTGTTGATCAACAACCAAACAATAGTCTTGCTTGTGGAATATATGCAATAGCATTCGCAACATCGATATTTTTTAATATTATGCCCCACTCTGTCAATTACTATTATTATAACATGAGAAATCATTTAATGTTAATGTTCAAAAACAATCGTTTAAGTAAATTTCCCTCAGTAAGGTCGACTAATATTAGAACTATGACTTGAATATAATTGGGAGTGTCATCTTAGGAATCGAGCTAGAGAAAAAAGTTTCCAAAATGAAGAAAATAAAATTGTTGACAATAATTTATCATCGTTGAATTCAACCAGCAATGTTTGTAAAAAAAAATGTTGTTGATAGTTGTTTAGAAAATTTGCCTTTAATTCCAGCAAATGATGTTAATAATATTTCTATTGATTCAAGCAATGGAATGAAAGATACAAGATTAATAATAACTGAGAAGCAACGAAAAAAAAGAGCTATGGTTCATTTTTCTGAAGAAGAAGGAAAATATAAAATCATAAAACGTCAAAAAAAAAACTGCTTATAAAAAAAACATCGACAAAAAAAGCGAGAAAATAATAAAATTGTTCGCTCTAAATCATTGGATTCTAATGAATTCATTAGTGCAGAGCAAACTTTAAATACGAGGCCCCAAACCACATCCGCAGCTTTATCATCAGCAGAAGAAAATATTTCTACTTCTAAAGTTAAAACGTCAATTCGTGACAGAAATGTTGCTTACAAGCGCACCTCCCGACAAAATAAACATACTTCCCTATATTAAAGAACCAGTTGAGACCAGTAGAAATTGAACATGGATCTACTGGTGTCAACTTGCTTTCCAAATTGAAAAACTTTTCCGTGTAGCAATTCTACTGGTTTTAACTTGAAAATCCTATTTATGTAACTGAAACGGATATCCAAGATAAAATTGAAATGAT